TTATTGAGGTTGTGTAGTGCTAAATTTGTAATTAGGGTGTCATATGATATTAAGTCAAACACATTGCCAAAAGCTAACCAAATAACAGCTCCCCAGTGACCTTTATCTACAAACTTGTAATTTTCTCAACAGATGAAATGAGGCTCATTTGACAAGGCATTTTTCCATTAGGCCACACTGATGGGTATATTTTTAATCCTTAAATTCTATATTAATTGAATCCCGTGCATGCTTCTCCATTATTTCAATCCCAATGTCATGCTGGACTGGCCTGTTGTCAACCAGGGCACCGCTGAGTGCAGTGTTAGTCTCCTGCCAAACTTGGCGTCTCCCCAGGGTTCAAGCTTTTCATAAATGAGGGAACACAGCTCCTCTCAGCACACTGCTTGAAGGCCCTTAGGAGCAAATTAGCTGGATCGGCTGATTTATAAACCCCACAGATGTTATCTGAGATGCTCTTGGTTGGTCGCTAGCGGACCACAGAGTATTTCATCCTCCTCATACCTTACGTTCCCATCCTTCTGCTTTCTAAGTGTGAGAGGGAAATTTAGCGTGCCTGTTTGCTAGCAGGTGTACCCCCTCATCTAGACATGCTGGGGCATCTCCGTCTTTGGAGATTTTCAAAATTTGCCTGGACAGCCCCTGAGGACCAGCCCTGCTCTGAGCAGGAAGGTGCACCTGAGACCTCCAGAGGTTCTTCCCAACCAAAAGCATCTTGTGCTTCTCTAGGTTTATGAACTGGACCTGTGAAATCATTAACATTTCTTTTGTTTCCGATATGTTTAGAAGACAGTTTCTTTCTGTGTGTGGTTTTGCCAGCCGTGGATTTTCCTCTGTCCATTTACCTTCCACTATAAATACTTGTGCTTCATCACTCATTGCAATGATTGCTGTGCATTGACTGATAGCTGTAATTTTCTTCCTGTTCTTATGTTGCTTTTTTGCTTTCAATTACTGTCTTCAGGTTATTGAGTTAGAGGATGGGCTTTTAGCCAAAGTTACGTTTTCTTCACTGTGCAATATTAGCTTTTTTGCCCTACTGCAAACTCTTCTCAAATGAGGGCCAATTTTCCTCTCTACATTCTTCTGGAACAGCCTGCAGCAGATGTGCTGAGACCATCTGGTCTGACCTGACGACCGGAGAGATGCTCTGTTCCATCTGCGTCGCTCCGGATGCTCCATCTGAACTGTTCTTCCCACGCTGGAGCGTCTCTGATCTCCCTGACAGGCTTTTTCAGTGCCTTGCTGTCCTTAGCGTTAAAAATTTTTTCTTTATGCCCAACATGAATTTCCTCTCCACAGTTTAATGCTATTACTTCTCATCCTGTTACTTTCTTCAGCCTTTCATGTATTTCAAGTGTTGCTGTGGCTTCCCCCCCTCCCCCGAGTCTTCCTTTCTTCGGGGTGAATGGGTCCCTCTTCAACCCTTTGCCCCCAGGCCATACTTTGACCCCTCCAGCTGGCCCCAATCCCCCCCCTCCCGAAATGCTGTAGCCAGAACTAGGCCAAATACTCCAGCTGGTGCCTTACTCGACCTCCGCAGGCTGCAGGTGATGGCGCATTTCTGTGCTATTTCTCATACCATGACATTCACCTTTTCCACACAAGCGTAACTGTTGGCTCGTGTTCAGTGTAAGATGTGCAGTAGCAACCGGGTCCTTTTCCGCAGAATGGCGACATGTCCAGCTGCTGCCTGTCCCGAGCCAGCCCCCTGCAGAATTGCACTCAGCAGCTATCCGGATTTTGCTACAAACTTTTGAGGGCAGCACAGAAACCACATGTTTTGCCACATCCTCACTAAGCCAGGAGCTGCTGATAGCCCTGAATTTGGCTGCAGCCCTCCAGCTCCTGCATGAATCTCCCCACGCTTCTCGGAGCCTCTTCCTGTCTTCAGCAGGGATGTCAGCACATACTCTGGGCCATAGAGAAGAGCCATAGCAACCCCTGGATACACACACAAACACACACACACACACACACACACACACACACACACCCCAGCAAAGCTCAGCTCTTCTCTTTTCCTTGCTGCCCTTTCATCTTCTCAGTCCTGCTGCCACAACCATCACAAATAATTTCCTTCCACCCACCGAGAGAGAAAGTATAAATGCATCCGACATCTTCCTCCAGATGACCTCCAAGTCATCCTCCCGTCACATTTCTACCTGTTCCTCCCCTTGCTCTTTGGCCTCGCTCTATGCAGGATCAGTCCCTGTGAGCAGCTCAGCCTCGCGACAGGCCAAAGTGACTGTGCCGGAGCAAGCTGCCGTACCCAGCGCCAGGCAGAGCGCAGATGCTGTGTTCCCAGCTTTGCCAATAGTAATAGCAAACATACAAAACAGATGGAAATGGTTTTATTTCAGTGCAAAGCACACTTAGATACAAGGGCTGGACGTAGTGCAGGGTTGGATTGGAGCAGAGCTTCTGACTGCAGTGGTTACAGGGACGTGTTCATGCAAACTCTTTTTTAACATCAGCTTTGCTTTCTTCAGTCTTAAATATAACACAGGTACCTGAAACTTGAACTTTTCTTCTGCTGTGCAGCACCAATGTCAAGACAAAGTCAGACTGTTATTTTGCCAGACAATGAAGTACTGAGATGTGGATGGAGCAAAAACTGAGTAATCACTGAAACACTGAGCAATCAGTCAGCCCCAGACCTGCTCCGGAGGCTGCTTTGGGAATCCCAGCCTTGAAGAACCTCCATCAATAGGGCCAAATCCAGCACCTCCAAGGCTGCTGACGGCCCCTGTCGAGGCTGGAGGATCATAGGAGTAAAACCTGTTGCTGGTAGGTGCAGAAGCAGCTTCCAGTCCCCAGGAGGGTGGTGCCACCCAGGAACACGTCACCCCGGCGAGGAGTCCTGTCCCGGGAGGCTGCCCTGATGTGGCTGAACAAAGCTGTGATGATGTGGCTGAACAAAGCTGCTTCAAGCAGGTGGCAGGATCGGAGCCCTCCAGAGGTCCTTCCCACCAGCGCTTCCATGTTTCAGAGAAGTTAAGGACTATTTTCCCTATATCAGATATCCACACTGCTATTTCTTTTGTTATATCACTTGGTCTTATTTATTGTGATTTATTCTGAGTGACTGACTCGTGTTAATGTGAAAGCACTAATTTAGCGATCAGGAACAAAGTGCATCCTGCTCAAATCCTTCCTCCTGCTATAGCCAATGCTCTTTTGACTGTCAGGTTCCTTTTGCTTATCTTCACCTGAGTATCATTTTTAAAAAAGAAGAGGAAAATAATAATACACTGCGTCAGAGATGAGATCTCTCACCCAAACTGCTCCTCTCCTGGCCAGAGTGACTTCCCTTGCAGGGATTTAGGAGCACACTTTTGAGACAATCCCACCTGAGCGATGGACTCAACCTGTAGCAGCCTCATGTGCTGGTGGGTGGTCCTGTCGCCTGGGGTCTTTGGTAGCTCCTCTTGCCCGTTTCGATTTTGAACATTACAGACCATGCACAGTTGCCTGATACTGGTCAATGCCAACATCACTGCAAATTCCTCTGGTGGTAGCATCAGCCTGTAGAAATTTGCAGTCAGCTGTACAACGGGGCATGATGTGGCTCATATATCCCTCTGGGCACCTCCAGGGTTGGGCAGTGCAGGGCGCCCACCATGTGCACCCAGCTGGCCACAACGTGGGTCCCTGAGCTGCCAGAGGAGGTCAGCTTGTCTCCAACCACTGGCGCTGTCTCAGCCCTTCCCGTGCGCTCAGTAAATGGGTGGCAAATGAACTCAGCAGCGAGGAGCAAAGGCTTTCTGCTGGGACAAAAGAGAGAGCGGGGCCATGGCTGGGAGTGTGGGTGGTAGGAAGGAGTGGTGAGAAATGCTGCTGGCTGTGCTTAAGACGGAGCTTGAGAAAGGACAGAAGGGATCTGGGAAAGGATGGAAGGGATTATGTGATGGGGTTGGACATGCTCATCTGGGATGCTCCAACTTGTGCTTCTTTAAGCGCTCAGGCTGTACCATTACTATTATTATTTCATGAATGGGTGTGCATGCATATTAACAAGGGTTGCGCATGGACTGGGTCCAATCCAGTCATACCTGTGTCAGGTATGGCTTGTATTTAGAAAATGATTTTAGCTTTCTAGGGCCATAATTTAAGGCTTGTTCAGTGCTTCACATTGCAAGCCCTCAGTCCTGACGGGGCTTGCATGTGAGCTTGTGTCGTCTGGCTTTTGTAATGCCAGCTAGACCCGGATGAAGCAGCCTTGTCAGGAAGACAGCTCAAGATTTCAGCCAGCAGAGTAATAGCTAATTGAGTGTATTTCAATCATGGGACCCACAGAAAGAAAGCAAATTCCACAGAGTAGCAGAAAATTGCATCTTAGAGTAATCTGAATGTGGGTAGATAATTAGGCCTATATTTCATGGGAACATTTGTTGGGCAACATAATGAAAAGGCCAGCAACGTAATTTTCTTTAAGTAGTGTGATGCCTCCCACTAGGGACAGGCCGTGCCAGCGCTGGTGCTGCAGTGCAGCGGGAGCAGGGAAAGGCATTGCCTGGCTGGAGGGGTAGTTTTGTCGAGGTGCCAAGCTGAAGCCCATCCTGCCCATCTTTAGCGAGTGCTCAGAGAAGGTAAGAAGGGCAACTACCCATGGGTAAGAAAGCAAAATAAATCCTGGAGCCTTGTCATCTTCCCCTCGCTCCAAATGACAGCAAAGTCAGCTCTGGTCTGCGCTTGCAAAGCTGGCCAGACCCATACCAATTCACGGCTAATATGAGAGTCTCCCAGTAAAAGAGCTCCTGCCCTGAGTCATCATCTGAGCCAGTCTGGAAACCCAGCAAGGGCTGATGAGCCGCTCTGCTGCTGGCGTTCAGGTGCTGGTAGCCTGCGCACAGGCGATTTCCCCTGGTGCAAGAAGACAAGCCAGCGTGCAGCGCACCTCCAAGCTGCGCTCGGCTGGATGCAGGCCTAGGGGCCATGCCCTGAACATTGGTGGTGTGCGCCACTGAGAGGCCACTGCGCTTGCCCCTAAACGGCCGATGGCTGTGTGGGGTGGGCAGGTGAGCGTCCCAGGCCGCAGCACTGGGCAAGAGGAGGAGGAGGAGGAGGTGCATCAGCCTTCGAGTTCCCTCCCAAACTGCAATGATGAATGGGAAGTGAGGCTCCAGGACCTTCCTCATGTGAAGGCTTGTTTTTTTCCACATTTGGGATAGAAAGGCTTTGCTTTTCCCTGTTCTCCACCCCCAGCTAAGCATAGGCCCTGTCTTCTAAATCTTCAGTTTAGACCCGGGCTGCTTCTGCCCTGGTATGTGTCGCAGAACACAAAGGAAGGCTGAGAGGCTGTATCCAGCCCCGATAATTACTGATTAGGTCTTTTACTAAAAATAGCGATGGAGAATTGGCCTAATGTCAGGTCTGACTGCTCCGTATTGTAGCTGGTTCAGAACGGCTCTTCCAGTGATCGGTGTGCTATGTTTGGGACCCTGATTTTCTGATGCTGAGTGCTTGGCCATTTTCACATGGCCCTGTCCAGATGAATCCATTCAAGGCAAAACCCTAATTCTTGGCTAACTCCAACGTGCTAGTTATTGATATTGCTCCCGTGATGTATTGCCTAATTTTAATTATGCCGGTGTTGGGAAAGTTATTCTCTTACAGTGTCATTAGAGTGAGTTTCTAATAGATCAATTCAATGGGGAACATCTTGAAGTGACTAAATTAGCTGAGCAGGGAGGTGGCTATTTCAGAGTCACCTCCCGGTATTTGGGAGATCTTGAGCTTCCCAGTGCAATTGGACTGTTGCTCTCAAGCATTGTTTCACAGACAAACCCTGACAGCTCCTCTAGCTACTACTGATGTCAGCGGTTTAGAAATGAGAAACACCAGGTCCTCAAAGGCACTAAGCTCCACTTCAAGTCAAAGACTGGTCCTGCAGCACTGCTCTTCTGCTTTGGGCAGTGGAAAGCCCAAGGGATTAGCCTTGGTGTAAGCCCTGCCTGGAGCAGGCAGCTGGACCAGGGCCCTCTGGCGGTCCCATCCAATCTTCCTGTGAGCGTGAAACTCAGAAGGCAAAGAAAGAAGGGAAGCCCCAAGGACCCCAGGAGCATGAAGCCAGCTCCCGTTCTGGGTTGCTGATGTTCCCCCGACACCTTGGTTTCATCGCCATCTCGCCAAGCTGTTGGGACATGGCGGAAGAGCTGAACTGGGACATTACATTTATGGACATTGGCACATCGGTTTGACTCTTCTTTCCAGGTTGGTGCTTTGTCACTCCTTTTTCACCACACTTGGGCCAGATGTTTTGTGCAGAATGGTGGGAGCAGAGGGCAGGGGGCTAAAACATCTCTGTCCAAGCCAGTCCTCCTGGCCCCCCTTCTCCCGTAGCCTCCACACACCAGCTGATCACCACATCACTGAACCCCTTCCCGCTAGTTGTCTGTGTCTGGACACGAAGCGAAGCCAGCAACTGGTGTGTGACGCACAAATGCAACCTGGGTGGGGACGATAGTCAGACGACCCGGGAGAGAAAGAGCCCGGTTCTGTGGATAAGGATCAGGGCAGAGCCCAGTACTACGCCACTAAATTTAGGTTTGTTTTTCTTCAGTGTGTATATCTGTGTAACTATCTGCACTGGATGTCCTCAGCCATTTTATTACCTAGTTAGTCACTGTCATTGTTCAATTCTTTACAGCGTCTCGTGTATTTATGACCCTGAATGCCTTAGGATCATCAGCAAGCTTTGTCAACCCATTTTTCAATTCCTGTTCAGGACTATTTATGGATATGCTGAAGTGTGAAGCATGCAGGCCCCACCACTGGTCCCTGTGGGGTGCCATTCAAGAACCCAATTGTTGATAGCTACTCTTTGAGAAATCCTTTAAACAACCAGGTATTTATCCATTTCAAGCCCTTTCCTTTTATCTCATGGCAGCTGCATTTCCGTTAAGAAACTTTTGTGACAGACCTTTTGGGAATCCAGGTAGACTATACCATATGCTTGTTGACGCCTTTAAAGAGCCATAATTGATTTATGAGGCATTACTCTATTCAAGGAAAATGCGAGGGAATGCTGTCTCAGCCTGGTGAATTTGCTTCGGTTTGGCTATTCTTCTGCTGACACTTAAGCATGAGCCAAATCCTATGCCGCGTCCATATAAAGACTTCTGGCACAGGAACTTCTCTAAGCTTTTCCTCACTGACTACAGATGCAAAATATTCACTTTGTTCTTCTGTTCTGGCCTTATCTAGTACAAAAGCTCCTGTTACATCTTGGCCAACTTCTAGCTCTCCAGCCTCTCCAGCAGGCTTCCTGTGCTGGCTGTGTTTGAAGAAGTATTTATTATTTTTTGCCTTTGCCTTTTGCAGGTTGTTCTTCAAACCGTTTTTAGCTTGCCTAATTGTCTTTTTTTACATTCAAATGATCAGAATACAAGCTCTTTTCCTTGTTTAGACAAAACTGACTTTTCTAAGTGTAAAAAGACCATATTCTTAAAGCTCGAGAAATGAGTCTCATCTCAGCTAGGCCTGATCTAAGCCCTGGATCTAACCAGATCTAAGACTCTGGGTTTCCTCCTGGACAGATATGTGCTTTTTGCTTTGACAGGATGCTGAGATACTAGATTTTTTCAAGTCTGACACATTTATATAGATAAAAATTGTCACTGGCTAGGATGAATTTTGCCTCTCTTGGGCTTTGGATGTTTCATCTCTACAGGCAGAAGGAGGGGAACATTTCTCTGGCAAGCGAGGATGATTTTTGAAGTTTTCTGGGGTGTGCTCCCCTATGATAAAGGGAAGGCAGCAGAGAGAGGCCCATGGGCAGAGGCTGGGGCACGGTCAGAGGGACAGCAGCGCTCCCTGCCTCCGTGGCCTGTTTGTCTACGTGCATCTCCGGAGGCCTGTTGCCATGGAGAAGCGATGGGAAACAGTCTGTCTAGCTCGCGTGACTTTTCTCCTAGCATGAAGCCAAGACGTCTCACTGGATCTAACGAGCCGAAGGAGCTCGGCACAGCGGCTGCCTCCTGTGCTGTGCCACACCGGGGCCCCTGAATTCCTGCGAGAAACCCAAGGGCAGGAGAGAGCCCCAAACTGCAGGTGGGGAAGGGAGCAGAGGGCAAGAAGGAAACTGCCGGGAGATCCTCCAGCGCCGAAGGGATGCTACAGGGCAGACGGAGCCAGGCTCTTCTCAGGGGTGCAGAGGCCAAGAGGTCACGAGCACAAGTTGCAGCTAGGGAAATTCCCATTAAATATACAAAAAAAATTATTCCCAGTGAGACCAGTGCTGCCCCAGGACAGAGACTGGAGTGGTTGTGACATTTCTATCCTTGGAAAGCACCAAAACTCAGCCTGTATCGGCCAATGTGGCTTTGAAGTCAGCCCTGCTCTGGGCAGGAGGCTGGACTAGACCCGCCAAGAGAGACTTTGATGGGGAATGACAGGGGAGAATTTGAGAGAGCTCCAAGAGGGAGAAACGTGGGAGAGAGCAATCCAGAAACGGGGTGAGAGTGGACACATGAGAGCTTTTTAACTCTGGAATTGACAGCGCTGGGCACTGTCACTTAGACCATAACTGCTTGAATGTCTCAAGTTTTCACTGCTTTTTCTTAAGCTGCTGCCTAAAAATAGACAGATTCATTTTCTGTTGTAGAAATTCTTTGGTGTTCTGGACTGTGCAAAAAAAGTGGGCTGATTTCTATTACTGGAAGTTTAATGGGAGCCCTCTTCTGCGGGAAGAAGTCCTATGTGTTGACACGTTCTGTACCTTAACAGTGTCACTGGTAGCAACTTTGGCATGTTTCCAGCTAGGTCTTCTAGGGATTAAGTCAGGGATTAGAACTTTCTGTTGGTTTTGTTATTTTTGTTTGCATTTAAAAAAAATAGGATTTGCTACAACTGGCAAAATAGTTAAACATAGAAACAGACAGATTTTTTCCTCTAATTGTTTGAGGAGAAAAAAAAAAAAGGAAATTGGAGCTAAAAGGCTCGGGCTGTCCTTATTTTTAAAATATTCTCGTGTATTTGTTTTTTCTCCCTTGCTTTGACTGTGTGCGCGCCTCTCGATCTGTGTCTCTGCGTTCCTAGCAGTGCGAAGCAAGACGTGGCATTGAATTAGATGAGCATGAATCAGCTCTGCCACTCTTGATTCCAGCACACAGGACTGAACGGTACCTACCCGAAATCTGCTCTCCAGTGCCAGCACACAGGATCGAGACGGTAACGTTTAAAGAATTCTCATCGCTCTCATAGCTCAATGCCCAGAGAAAGGGATGGAAAAATACGACTCCAAAAAAAACCAACCAACCAAAAAAACCCCCAGAGATGTGTGACATTTCATAGGCCATTTGCCTGGGTCAGACAACAGGTTCATCTCCACCGGTTTCCTGGTCTCTAGCTGTTTTCTCTCATTGCTGTTTGGAAGAGCAATGCAACGGCTGGCTGTAGGAATCAGGAAGGCACCGCCTGGGTTACTGCACAGCCCTGCTAGGCTGCGATCACCCCGGGAAAAGGAGCGATTTTCCTGGGAAAAGGCAGCTCTGCTGAGCACGCGGGACCAGCGACCCGGCTCGCTCGTGGCAGCGATGGCGTATCCGAAGCCATGAGTACCTCTGCGCTGGTCAGCTGCTCCAAAGTAGAAAGCAGGTTGCTATCTTTCTGTTTTGTGCACGGGGAACCTTTTTGACTCCCAACTTGTGTCTAAGCTAAGACACAGTTCTGCAAACGTGGTGGTGTTCCCTGTGATTTGCCCCATTGTCTATATGATGAAATTTCAATCAATGAGGTATTACATCCTGCTTCTCGTGTCCGTACACGACAGGGAAGTCGAGTAGCTTATTCCTCCGGAGTTTTTTTTCCTGCTCTCTACTTGAATGACTTTATTTTTCAAGTTGTAGATTAATAGAAACCAAGTTACATGAGGACCTGAACAAATGAAGTCTGCTTCTTACAGATTTGACTTTGGAGTCTAAGGAGAGAGAGGGCTGAAGCTTTTCCTAGATTTTCAGTCTCTTCCATCCCCAGTTTCTGAAGGAGAGTGAGGCATTGGCTTATGCTACAGCCTTTCGCCAGGTGAAGAAAAGGCAGGGTGTGCTTTTCCTTCCACTGTCTGTCCTCCCAAAACTTGTAGGGAGTTTAGTCACCTTCAAAACTTCCACCCCTCTGTCAAATATTGCGGAACAAGTTGGCTCTAAATTACTGAGGGCTGCGCACTAATTTGCAGGACCGACGGGACTGCGCAAGCGCCGTTTCCGTACGTACTGTGAACAGCATGTGAAGACCAGGCGTTCCCACCGCCCAGGGTGTCCCGAGAGCAGATTTACGAGGCACTCGCTCACGGAGAACCAATTTCCCAAACGCTCCTGGGCGCCCAAATCTACATACGGGAATTGCGTTGCGAGTCACTCGGGATTTGGCTAACGGGGCAGCTAGCGGGAGTGGGAACGCCAGGGACGCGTCCATGCCAGCGGCGAGGGCAGGCACGGGGAGGGCCCTGGCTGCAGCGGGGCCGGCCACCCCCGCCAGCCTCCCCG